GTGTCTCTTAGGTGCTCTTCCCCTCCGTTCTTCCCACCGCTATACTTCTCTATAAAAATTACCTCATGATTCTTCCTCCTCCTTTGGCTTGCTCCCTTTTTACGTATGGAGTTTGGAAACTTTAGCAAAGATCCCCTGGTTAAAAAGCCAAAAACCAACGAGAAAGTTTTGGGGGAACCATAATTCAGGGCAATTCCCAGTGTGATGCACTTGCAGTTCTTTAATCTCCTCTTTTCTTTTTTTTAAAGGTGCTTTTTGTGTTGTTTTTTGTCTAATAGATGCACATGGGCAACATCTTTTTGCTTGGATTACTTTTGTGACTTTTTTTCTTTTAAGTGGAAGCTTAAGATCTTGTAGGAGTTGATGGCACTTGGACAGGTAAGTGTCACTCTAGCCACAGGCATCTGGATTTTTTTCAGGTTGCTTTTTAATCTTCACTGCTTGAGTAGCAGATATATTTGTAGCTAAATTCTTACTTTTTTATATCACCAGGCTTCTCAAGTCTGGTACCAGGGAAGGTACTTGCTTTTTAAGTGCTGGCTAGCTGCGTTCCGCAAGGTCCGTGGCATGGGTAGTGTTGGCTCTGTTCTTCATTTGGTGCAACCAGCTGAGAAAGAACAGAGATCAAAAATTGGGGAGTGATACGGGCAGCTGTTTCTGGACCATGATGGAGAGAGGATGGAGAGACAGGCACACGGGCAGAGCTGGAAGTTACGGGGAAATGAGTAAGGGGAATGCAGAGGAAACGCGAAGCGCAGTGGAAGCATTACCGCAAGTGAGCGTTTTGAGCCAGGAGCGTGCGCCTAGTGCCCTGCTGGAAAGATGCATCCTGTTGTATTAGCAGGTTGTTGCCAGCTGGAATACTGCATTTCAGGCTGTGTAGCTTCTACAGGCGTCGAAAAGAAAATCTTTACCTGCTGTTGGGAATTTGCATCTTTTTCTGTATCTTTGTGGGTTTTCTTTTTTCAGAATGGTTAAATTTTGTAAGAGGAACAAACTGCTTTACTTACTACTTTCGTGCATGCTGCTCTTTAACTTGAGGGTGACACTGGCTTTTGAAGGCTGCGATTCAGTCGGGTTGAGTGGGAATAGGACTTAAATATCTTGCTTTTGTATAACGTGGGCACATAATTTTTCTGTAACCTCAGGCGAATAGTTTTGTTTGGAGGGAATCACTGTCACCGTGAGGTTAGATTAATAATAGCCCCATTTAAAGTGTGTGGGTGGCAGGTGTTGCAGAAACGTTAACTGGAACTTCATGATGTTAACTAGAACAAATGATAGTGTTAAAATTGTTTGAAATCCTCCTATAAAGTACTGGTTTTTACAGTGACTTCTTCAAAGTGCTTCTGTCTGGAAGCATAGTCAAAAGTTGTTAATAGTCTTAAAACTTGTATGTTAAACTCCTTCTCTAACTTAAGGGCTAAATAATTTTTCCTATATGCTTAATTACAGAAATATATCAGAATATTTCTCATTGGAAATGTTGTAAATGTGCAGTTGTTTTAACTGTTGCTTGTGATTATGTGACACTGAAGGTTTTTGTATTAAGTTGAGTTCAGGTTTTAATTTTTGCCTCCTATTCTTTCCATTCCCAAATACAGGACATTTGATGAACCTTTCGGAGCTTGTTACCAGAGGCTGTTCTCCTCTACTCATTAAAACATGCACTATCCAGCTGTGAAACTTTGTGACGTTTATTTTTGCTAACAGGAAACACTTTCAAATATTGGTAAGTTCTCAGCATTTGAAG